GAAAACAAGATAGACGGTAAACAAATCGAGAGCTATATAGTTATAAATAAAGGACGAAAATAGTTGTGGGATGCAATTGTTTAAACTGTCAACGTTCGAAGGTGCGTCATATTACGTCTCCTCTGGGTGAATTTGATCTACCAAAGGCTCCATTTAGGCACGTTCATATCGACCTTGTTGGACCTCTGCCACCATCACAAGGACATCTTCTCACGATGATCGATCGTTTTTTCACGCTGGCCAGAAGCAGTCCCGCTAACCGACATGACAGCACCAACAGTAGCACAAGCATTGTACTCGACGTGGATTGCAAGGTTTGGTGTTCCTGTAAGTATAATAACAGACCAAGGACGTCAATTGGAGTCGGAACTATTCAACGAACTGACCACTAGACTGATGCAAAATTTGACTTTTTCGCTCCACAGTGCTTAAATGGTTTCAAATCGGGTCGTAATTAGCCTCCCAAAGTTACAACTCATTTGGTTAGAAACAGACTTCGCACAAACCATTTGAAGTTTACATGTAAATTACTATGGGAAATCTCAACTTTTTGTTTATTGCCTTCTAGTCTTTTTCCATATTGAGCTGCAAAACAGCTCGATAGTTATTCTTATAGAAAATTTTCTCAGCTTCAACTTTGCTAGAGATCGTTTCTATGTAAAACGAGACAGGAAATAGTTATTAATTATTTAAGAGATTGGTAAACTTATGACATGATCAAGCAGCTGCTCTGTAGGCAACACTGTATTTTGCAGTGTGACATAGTAGCCATGATTTTTGTGTCCTATTCAACGCCCCAGAAACACCAATGTTGCCTGCTGAGCAGTTGATTGAGCATGATCATAAGACATCAGTGCATTGAACCATTGATTACTTTCGATCCTAGCATTTAATCAAAAAGTGGTCTTGAGCAAAGTTGTAGCTGGGAAAATTTCCTACAAGCACAGTTGAAAGCTTTTGAAGCAGACCGATATGGTGAATTATTAGATAGACATGAACAAAAATCTTGGTTTTACCATAGTAATTCCCATACAAACTTCAAATGGTTTGTGCCATCTCAGTTTCTCACCAAATGGGTTCAAATTTTGAGAGGTTAGTCAGGATCCGATTTGGAATCGTTTAAGTATTGTGGAGCGAAAATTTCAAATTTTGCATCACTCTACTGACCACCGTCCACAAGCGAATGGAATTGTGGAAAGATTCCATAGGACGTTGAAAGCTTCTATTATGTGCGTCAACCCGAAGGATTGGTACATCGAGCTTCCGATGATCTTGCTTGGACTGTGTGTTTCATACAGAGAAGATTTGAAATGCTCAGCTGCAGCGGTCGCACCAGTATTCCTGGTGAATTTTTTGATTCGCCGGCATCAACTGTTGATCGAACAGATTTTTGTAAGTTGTTGCATCACTCCTTTGAGAACGTAAAATCACCCAAGCCCAGTCGTCATGGTCATCGAAAAATATTCGTCAACGCAGAGTTGAGTTCTTGTATGCACGTTTTCATTAGAGTGGACTCCGTGAAACGATCGCTCCAGCATCCATATGAGGGACCATATGAGGTAGTACATCGAACTGATAAATACATGGATGTCATCATATCTGGGAAGACTCAGCGCATTTCGATCGACCGGATTAAACCTGCTTTTATATGCAACCCTGACTTGAAACATCATCCTTCGGACGATCACCGAACTAAAGTTACACCAACTGGACACCGGATTAGATTTTTTATGTAACTGGGGGAAGCCTGTGGGATGCAACTGATGAAATGAATACCACCCTGGAATTTGCAGCCGTGGACGGAGCTGTGCGCGAAGAGAGAGAAATGACGCTGAGAAGGAGGGGAAAGAAAAAGAAGGATTATTCTTGTAACGCCGAGTTTGCAATTGCGTGTAATTTACCAAGAATAAAGAGTTTGATATTATCCGTAATACACGTCTTCGATCATTGAAATCGGTTCGAAACACCACATAGTTAACGGTAAACAATCTCAGAAGTGCTAAGAAGTCCTAGAATTATAAGCCAGGTTATTATTATTTTAATATAATCGACTACCTCCTTGATTCCACTTCTCATTTTACAGCTGGTGTAATCAATTTGACAGATCGATGTCTTTCTATACAACTTGAAATCACTGAAATCGTCAATTGAAGTGATTTGTTTTTTTTTTTAAATCAGGTAGGGTAAATGTCGGCTTCGGCACCCATTGACTGTTTTCGGCAACCAAAATTTAAACGTTAATTTCACTATGTTTTACCATCAACACACTTCCCTGAATGTATCCAAATGATTATTTAGTCTTTCAGCTTCAATCTGATTATATTTGTAGGACCGAGCAATCCTGTTATGCCAGATTTTTCTTCAAATGAAGCATACGTACTACAAAATGGGGCTGATTTCGAGTTGCCGATAATAGAACAGCTGGTTAACACGCAGTTCTAATGGGAAGGTTGCCGAAGAAAAAGAGGCTGCCGACAATAGTCACACTCACATGAGAAGTTTAGAGCGTTGTAAAAACGCTTTCAAACAGTTTTGAAGAATTCTGTCGATTGGAATGGATAGAGAAGCAAGCAGCAGATGAATTGAAATAAACAGACACGTCATATATGTGCGTGACGCTGTGAAAATGCTAATAGAAGTGCGGACGCTGCTTAGATTGACGAGAATACGTAAATTCCCCTACGTCGATTTGGAAAATAACGCTTGATTTAGTTCCTTGATTTCTGAACGTACACACTTAGATTTTTTCGCCTAGTCCGGCAAAAAAAAGTGCCGAGAATCCAACAGCCGAGCCTTCGGCAAACATTTCGGTAAAACATTCAATTACCGTTAGATCGGCAAAGCACAATTTACCACAACTGTCAAATTTTGCCAATCCTTCGGAAAAATTGTTTACCGTTTATCGGTATTTTTTTTTTTTTTTTTTGTTAATCCTGGCTGTTTTTCATTTTTTTTTAATTTGTTTGCTTGATTACGGTTGCGATTTTAAAAGAAAATAAAAATAGTAGGATACAATTTTATAACATTGTTTTTTTTTTATTCCACGAAAAATAAAACACTATCAATCTAGCAGAACTTACCGTGCATCGTCGGCGAAGGTTGGACCAACGTGACCAATGAGAGTGGCAAATTTGATCCGGTGCTTGGTGCTTGCGTAGTTTTTCCTCTTCGGTTCGGACTGAACTCGTTTCGAGCCATGGCTCGTTGGATCAGATCAGTTGCTTTGACTTTGCACAGATCGGACCGGACAAGGCCGTTGAACAGGGAGTTCTTGCCAACGTTGATACATCCGACCAGATGAATGTCACCCCGTGTTCCCCAGAGTTGTGGATTTTAGTGATCAGCTGTTCTATTCCGTAACCGGTGGTGACCGAGAGGAGCGACACGTGTTTGATGTCATTTCTGATGAAGCCAGCATCCAGGAAAGTTGTTCCGAGTGTTGTTCAGATAGCCGGGGCAGTCCCTTAGAAGAAGGTCGACTTTGTTCGCGACGACGATTATCGATCCTTTGGGTCCAAGAATTTCCGACAGACCCGGCCAGATGGAGCACGGGAGATCGAGGAGATCCACCTGAAAGAGATTACTAAAGAAATTAATAACATTTTTTTACTAAACAGAAGTCTGATAAAATGGTACCAACCATCAACAGGACGAGTGACTTCATATCCTTGATAGAGGATATAATCTCGATGAAATCTGGCATCTCTGGCACCTCTCACAGATGGTGGTCATTAGCTGCTGCTTGGATTTATTCAATTGCAGCAATGCACCACAGCCACTGCAAGGAATTTTAGAAACTGATTGCTTCGCATCTAGCGTTCCGTAGAAGGTAGTTCGATCGTCGTCTTCATCCTCTTCGTAGTACTCGTTATCGGACATCTGATCTCCGATTGTCGGTGCTGCTTCTTCCGTCGAGGAAGACTCCTCCCGGGGCAATCATCCTCACTGATTTTTCTGAACTACGACGCTACTACTTTTAAATTTTCATTCGCACCTAACCTAATTTAATCCTGACAGTTATTTATGTGTCCGTCTTCGTTGACAGATATTTTAAGTATTTTCGGCTAAGCAAAATGTGAATGCCGTATAGTTCGTTATATTATTTTGCTGATTTCGGCAGTTTGAATTTTTTCCGATTAGATCAGTGATTACAATTGACGAAGCTTGGTAAATGATTGTTTTTACCGAAATTTGGCTAAAACCAGATACGAATTTCAGTGAACTATTATATGTTTAACAAAACTTCGGCAAATGTTCAGTTTACTGGACTGTTACGGCAATATATTCCACCGAGGACAGATTTTTATTTTAAGTGTGCAACCGGTACCCTGATTTTACGCTATCGAGCGCAAAATTATTCAAGTTCGACCTTTGATATCTCCAGAACAATGTCATTTAAATTGGGACTCAAAATTGATTGCACTCAACTGCCTCCGCATCCAACTGAGCTATCAATTTCCTTCCTAATCTCTTCCATAGACTAACCAGAACGTGAAAAAGACAATAGAACATTAGTAGTGGTTAAACTCACCAGCATCTAAACTGTCTGGCCGCCTGTCAGTCTCATGATTCTTCCATTCGTCTAGCGGTAAGCGAGAATTATACAGCGCATAAATATAATGTGTCCTCTATAATAAGACCGGCGGCGCGGTGGCGTCAAGGAATAAACAGATTAGTTCAAGCAGATGGTACGAGGCCTTACCTACAAGTGAACCCAGAGCACATTTACTATTTACAGATTGTCCATTTGAATAGAACAAGCGATCACGCTTCTTCAGCTCATCCACCCAAACAAGAAGCGTTGCCAGCTTGGCCATGTGGATGGTAATCATTTCTTTCTTATTTTTAAAATCGCCACTGTAATTCATTAACATTTCGGCGCTTTGAAAACCATTACAGATAACGCCGTTTTTTTTACGTCACATACATGAAAACAATCAAAATGAATTATAGTAGGTATCATCGCTTTAATTGTAGCGCTTTACGCGCTCTCGCGCAAGCCACTATCTGCCGGGGACTGAACTTGGTTGATTTGCGTCCAGCTTCTGCTCTCAGTCGTTGATAAGATCCAGGTCAGTCAGTCCGAGTGTGACTGAGTAGAAACGTAGTAGAGTCAGATGCTTGATCCCGCAGTCCAGTAGTGAGATCCGAGCTGATCACAAATCCTGGCTCGCTGCGCATAGATCCATCTGGTTCGGTGTGACAAGCAGAGGATGATAGCGAAGTGACTTGATTAGTGGCTGTAGCTTACGAGTGTTGGCAATCAATCGAATCGTATTTGCCCAATCAATCGGGACGAAGCGGTGTTCAAAATGGGTAACGAACCGGGCGTTAGTGCGCGCACAGTATTATGGTACTTAGTGTTTGTTGGTTTTGCGGTTAACTATATGGTGCGAATCAATGCCAATATCACAATAGTAGCGATGGTCAGATCGGGCGGTGCGAAAAATGCGCAGCTCGATCAGGAGACGGAACTGGGATCAACAGTTGGCTTGTCAGAACAGCAACAGCCGAGGATGTATGCTTGCTACGTGGAGAGGAACGAGTCGGATCTCAGCGCTGAAAATGCACCGAGCGGGGGTGGATCAGCCGGCAGAACACAAAACGAACCGAAGCTTGTCTCACTGGAGAAATTACTGCTGAGGGCGTTGCAGGTACCTATTATTGAAATTATGTTAGTACCGGGCGCCTTCATTTGGTGGGCGTTAGCAACGCGGCTGGTAGAACATACTATTCACGCGTCCTTAAACTATTCGTGAGGTTGTCGTGGGCAGTTATAGGTTGCTGAAGAAAAAGAGGTTGCCGACAGTAGTCACACTTGAGTAGTTTGGAGCGTTGTTAAAGCGTTTTAAATCGGTTTTGAACAATGCTATCGATTATTCGAATGGATAGAGCAGCAGACAGCAGGTGAATGTAAACAAACAAACACTACATATGTGTGCGTTACGTCGAGAAAAAGCCCATAGAAGCGCGGACGCTGCTTAGATTTACGAGAATACGTAAATTGGGTTCTTTAAGGGTATTAAGGTATATGCATATTCGTTATCTGCATTGAAAGTGGAACCCAAACCCAAAATTTAATCAATTTTATAACACTGGTACAATAGTTCATTTTAAATAAGTACGATTACATTTGCAAAAATCATGTTACTAGCGGTGTCACTTTATATGGGAGCGAGCTGTCAGTTTGTTAGTTTAGTGTCAACAGTGAAATCAAGATGAAGTGCTCAGAAAACGAAGCTCTTTCTGATGATGTATAAAAACCGATACATTTTTCAAAATTAAAGGACCCAATTGGGTTCTTTAATTTAGAAAAAAAAAATATCGGTATTTATAGATGATCTGAAAAAGCTTCGTTTTCTGAGCACAACGATATTTTTTCCTACCCCATTTACATCCATGTCGATTTTTAAATCAAAAAAAGCAAAATAATCATTTCACTGTTTGACACAAGCCTAACAAAATGACAGCTCGCTCCTATACAAAGTACTTTCAAGGGGCGCTACGGTGGTGATTTTTCTTAATGTAATCACACTTATTTAAAATAGTTCCAGTGCTCCAAAAGTGATGAAATTTTGGATTTCGTTTCCATTTGTAATGCAGATTACGAAAATGCAATAACCTCATAACCCCTAAAGAACCCAGTTCCCCTCCATAATTTAGTTTTGTTTGATTCAAACAATGTGAATAAAGTTGAGATCCCTATCTTAGCTCAGTCGGTAACGCCACAGCTGTAAAAGAACTATGCTGGAGGTAGCGGGTTCGATACCCGGTTTATATCTCTAATGGTTCACTGATTTGTAATAAGTGACTTAAGGTGGCGCCAAAACATCGGGATTTCAGTAACTTTTTATACATTAATTTCACGTAGTCTAAAACAGAACAGGTCAGGCTGACAGCCTCCTGACCTAGCTCCTGACTATGATTTGATTGTTATATAATATGCAAGGAATCAAAAATATCCCAAAATGACATTATGACAAGCGATTAACGAACCGAACGATAACGCTATGTCCATTTTTGTTATGAAAAACTGCCTTTGAAATTTAGTTCGCTCGGGCCGGTAGAAGGAAACGACCAAATTGTTGGCAAGCTGCTTCACGAAGTAACGCCGAAGATGATACACGTGTGTTAATGGGATTTTTGACGTAGGAGTACGTGGATGGCCAGTGACTTTTCATTTTGAAATTCCCGGCTTTTTCCCGGTTCAAATCTTAAAAAATTTCCCGGTTGTTGATATTCAACGAAAAACGAAATTGTACGCTTTTTTTAAAACGTGGCAAACTGTAAATTTTCAGTGGTTACTTGTATGAAAGCCAAATTACAGAAAGTATTTTCTTAAGCTATGGGAAAAATTCAACTATATGAGTCACTTAATGTATTCAAAACAATTTATTGATCTTTCGAGATACTTTGATAATCGAATTCTACCATTTTTTATGCTTGATACATCTTATGATTTCAAAGCCCTAGAATTTATTGAGTAACTGAAATTAAGGTCACTGGGCCAAAGTCTATCTGCATAAATAGGTTATAAGACAGAATTGAGAAGAATAAGAGATTAAATTTAAAAAAAAAAATCAGAAAAATGAACTTGATACAAAAAAGAATAAGAGCAAATTGATAGTGATATCGGATAAAGAAAGTGTGTCTTCACTCCATCGTCTATACTAACATTAAAAAAATATGTGAAACCTATTGACGTTTGAGCCCGCTCAACGTGAAACTAAACATGGTTCATGAAATTTAATGCCCACTTGAAAAAAAATTCCCACATAGTTTTCGAAGGAGAAGTTCTGAGCAGAATTCCAGCCAGCCAATTTATAAGCGTTTAAAACCTGACACTATTTCGTTACACATTTTTTTTTTCAATTTAAAAAGTAACCGGGAAAACCGGGAAAATCTCGGAATTAGATGAGAGAACCGGGAAAAATAAATTAACCAAACCATAGGAATAAATTTTCACACCACAATTTCAGAATAAACCATTAAAACAGAGTGATTTTTTACCAAATGAATGTCTTTCTCTATTTGCTGCATAATTTTCTTCAGATTTCCAATAATAATTTTTTAGAATTTAATCAGTCAGCAATATTTCAAATTGATTTTTGCGATTCAATTTCAGATGTAAAGTGCATGGGCCTTAAAACAAAATATTGAAGATGCTGGACTTAAGAAACAAATATTTGTAAAAATTGAAACTGAACTATTCTTTTCCGGGGTTTTAACATAGAGGTAACTCTAAGACCAGAAGGTCCCGAAATAACGTGCTCAACTTTTTGGCTCAGCTCTGGTACTCTCTTCGGTCCCAAGCTAATCGATTCACCCCTCGAAACATAGGAAAATCCAATAACCCCTCATTTTATCTGTCAAACTTTCATAGCGAATCAAAACAAACATTGTGTAGTACTAGAATTTTGACTAGAATGGGGTACGTTAATGGATTTGCTTGGGACCAATAGGCTAGTCAAGTAGTGAGCCAATTTAAAATCGTTAGTTTCGTATTGATTGTTGGTTTTACTCAGAATTGAGTCGAATTCAACTCAAAATTACAAAAAGTAAGGTAACTTAGATGAGTAAAATTTTCCTCGATGTTCCTCAAAAATCGGCTCGAATGTTCAGAAATTCCATGAATATTTACTCAAGTTACGAGTATACTCATAGACTGAGAATTTTTTTTATCGATTTTCCTGATATTCGAGCCGATTTTTGAGGACAATCGAGGAAAATTTTACTTGTCCACTGAGTAAAGGGTGTTACGATCAAAAAAAAACTTTAACACCCCTCATGTTGTAGGTATGTGCGTGCAGAATTAGAAATACTCAGAGGGAGAGATAGGCGGAGAAAACAAAATACAATTCGGCAGCAGGGATTTGTACCTTAATTATCTTGCAACCCTTGGTAGAAGCCAGCATTTCAGATGACTTTTATTTTTGATTCGATTTACGTGCAAAATAATAATTGATTGCATCGCAGTATTTTGCACATTTCTTGGTGCCATTTATTAACCAACTAAGATCAATTAATCAATAGAGTTAGAATATTGTTTTGACGTAGGATTACGTCTTTCGACCGCGTTACGAAAAGTGGTATTGGAAGGTTTTGACCACTTATAACTCTGTCAATAGCTGATGGATTTTCAATTCTAAACAAGCCAATCGATTGGCTAAAATTAATACTTTATCAATTTTTAATAGGTCACCATTGAAAATTACATAAAAATGACAAACATATCACCGATTGCCTGCAAATAGTGATTTGCCTAACATAGTCGCCAAATATTGATACCAAGCACGCAATCCTACGTCAAATCTACGGTCGAGTCTTGGATACAACCTCTTACTTTTTGATTCCAAAAACTAGTTGAATTTGAGAAGCACACGAAACATAAAGGAGATTGAATTTCTGTTCGATTGCAATACTCTCAAATGTAATCTAGTAAGAATAAGAAAACCTAGGACAAATTCTAATGGGAATGTTCGATTGGCTCAGATTTTGGCAGTTTATTTGGTTAAAAACATTCTCTCCGCCCATCTCTCCCTCTGAGTATTTCTACGCAGAATGATGCCTCTATTTTGATTTTGACACTTCAAGCTGAACATTGCATTAGGTGCTAAGTAACATTGACAGACAGATTCTCTTCGTCGACTTTCTCTTTGTATCCCCACGGCTATGTAAAGACATTCCCTGATATTTGCAGCACACAGATCGATAAAAGAAGCTTTTATCTAGCATTTAATACGACGAACACACCAAGAATCGGTTATGTGCTCAAGTTATTAACGAAAGGGAAAGTCGATCAATGTTACTTAGGGCATAATGCAATGTTCAGCTTGATTTGCTCTTCAGTCCTCAAAGTTGGTCCATGGAATTCAGATTCTGAAGTTTCCAATAACCGGCGAATGATACCGACCCAAATTTGAGTTTACTTCACTCATAATCGCCAAAAGTGCTCAGCGATGAGTAAATTTGCCTCATGGTTTCCTGTGCAAAACCACAAAAATCTGCCGGAAAATAAGGAAATTGACGAAAATTTCTCTCTAGAAGTTGAGGTTCTAGAAGTCTAGAAGAAGTACCAATAGATTGAGTGAATCCAATATTTACTTTTTTCATAGTCGGGAATTTTTTCATGGAAAAACCTGGGAAAACATAAGGCAAATTTGTTCATCGCTGAGTTTCTACACTTTATGTGATTTATGAGTTAACTAAACTGGATGGAGAAAACCTCCAAGCAGCGTTGCCAGATATAACGATTTATTGGTATTTATACCGATTTTAAAACTTGATACCGATATACAGATAAGGTATCTCAGAATACCGATTTTTGAGTTTTAAAACCCATTTATACCGTTTTTTTTAACAATCAAAATGATTAATGCCTGCCTGCGCTGAACTGTCCGAGGAAACTACTGTCTCTCACTTTTATCTTTTAGAACATTCAAATTTTTGAGCCAGCTCTAAAAAAGTTCCTTATTTAAAAATATCTTATACTTGAAACTCTTTCGACTGATGCTTCCATTTTCTCGCCGTTTTTGGTTACCAAGGAGCCAGTCGAGAAACAGCTGATGGCTCATCCCAGTAATTCCTCGAAATCGGGAAATACTTGTATTCAGTGAACAAATAGGTTAATTTTTCAACTTCCTGAAATTTCTTTGATCCCTTTGAACTTTCTTCCAACTTCCCTAGGAATTTTCGCCCACCTTACCCTGTAAGTTATTTTCCGAGTCCTTCCGGAAAGCTATTTAGACATCCCTTGGAATTTTCTTCTGGCTTTGCTCGAAAGGTTCTTCCGTCTTCTCCCGTCAGTTTTTTTTTTTTTGCAACTTCCCTGGAACTGCAGGAATGCTTCAAGAATTTTATCGCGGTTCCATTAGCATCAGGAAATATGCAGGAGTTCTGAAAATTCAGAATATTTCGGACTTTTGGGTAAGTTTAAAGATCTACCCTTGCAGTTCCGATAAATTAAAGACAGTTTCATTAACTGCCATGAAAATTCCAGTGTACTTAAGGAACATCTGACATATTTCGGAAACTTCACAAGTCCAAAGATCTTCATGGAAATTTAATGGTTTTCAGGACAGTTCCATTTGCTTCAGGAGAATTGAGATAACTTTAGGGAAGCTCTGAGAACATCAGGGCACATCAATTCCAGAAAAATACTGAAACTTTTAAAGGAGTTCGGAGAAACTCAAGGAATTTACGAAAACTTTAGCAAAGTTTTGAAAAGTTCATGAAAACTTTGTAAACTTCAAAACATCCCCATTAACTTCAGGAAAATTGCAAGAACTTTCAAGGAGTTCAGAGGAATTGAGGGACATTTCGAAGTGCATTTCAGGAATGTTCTGAAAACTTCAGGGACATTGTGGGGTTTTCAGGGATGTTTTATGAATATCAGGAATGTTGCTGAATCATTTGGAACATGTAAGGAACTTTAAGGAATGTTGTGCCAACCAGAAATCTATTTCTTCCAGTTGTTTTCCCAACTTCTCCTTGAAGTACTCGTGCGACTGTTCCGTAAGCCCTTTGGCTTCCAACTTTTTCCAGAAGTTTCTTCCAATCTATCATAAGAAGTTTCTGCTAGCGTCTCCAGGAAGTTCAATAAAAGTTTCACCGGATGTATCTATCGAGTTCTCCCAGAAGTTTTTTTCGTCCTCTGGAAGCTTCTCCATAAGTCCTTCTCCGTAGGTTTTTCCGACTTGTATTCGAAGGTTTTTCCGAGCTTCTTCTGACTTCCTCTGGCTTCGGATTTTCAAAACTTTTCTGGTTTCCTCTGGGTATGTCATCCAATTTTTTTAGAAATTTTCTTAAGTTTTTGCCAGAAGTTTCTTAATATTTGTCTTGGAAGATCCGACATTTTTTCCGACATTTCTTAGAATGTCCTGCAAACTTCCTCCACAAGATCTTTTTCATTCTTTCTCCGGAAGTTTTTTCGGTATCATTAAAAGACTAATTCAAATATTCCCCGGAAATTTCTTCGAACATACCTGGAAAGCACATTTTTCGTTCTTAGTTTGTATTTTCACCTTCAAAAAGGCAAAAATATAATGACTATTAAATTTAATTAATTAAAATAATGAATACCGATAAACCGATACCGATTTTTTAAACATTTGATACCGATAAGCTAGAAAACAATCTGGCAACGCTGCCTCCAAGTAAACAGACCTTGAACTGGACGACGATCCATATGACCCCCTCTTCACACGCAGCTATTTACGTCTGTTGCGCAAGTTACGTCTGTTTACATGTCACTCACATGCCCCAAACCTTTACCTTAGTAGCCATGAGTGGAAATAGGTTGTTTACCCCAGCAGAGCGAAACAACGCTGCTTAAAATCTTACAACCATATTTCTTGTTTGAAATGCATACTGCTGCTGCTCCTTGACCAAATTTACCAACGGCCTAAAGGCAAAAACCCCCCCGGGAAACAAATCGCAGCACAAACACAAAGCATGGCTCAGATCGTTCCCAGTGCCAAGCTCCGAGAGCGAAAAACAGCCACCAATCCGCGTCTCGTTATCTAAGTTGATGATGGACAAGCCTCGCATACCTTATCATAATGTGACTTTCAGTCGTGATTTATTTTCCATTGCCTTCTAGTGTAGTAGGTTGCAGGCAAGTATGGAAGAAAATAAACGGGACAGATGTCAGCGAGTAGCCAAATTATTATTATTAATGAGGGCCATAAAATTCTCACTCTTCAATTAGACGCCTCATAATTTAATGGACCAATTATATTTGTTTACCGGCGGTCGTAAGATTATTAAATGTGTTGATATTTTTTAAAGCCAGTTCAACAATCATATGTGTGTGCGATTGATATTTAAAAAAAATACACTTCTCTCTTCTACAGCTCGACACCCAAGAAGAAGGCTTCGAATGGGACGAATACGACCAAGGCTTGGTGTTGGGGTCATTCTTCTGGCTGCACTGGTTGACCCAAGTGCCGGGAGGTGTGTTGGCCCGGAAATACGGCACCAAAATGGTATTCGGCTTGGCCAATGCCATCGGATGCTGGTTGTGCTTCCTAATGCCATTGGCATCGTACCTGGACTATCGGATACTGATTTTCCTGCGAGTTCTTCAGGGATTTATATGCGTAAGTTCATTTGGAAACAGGTCGAATCAGCAATGATTGTAGATTATTTTTAGGGAGTATCATGGCCTGCAATGCACCACATGGCCGGACAATGGATCCCACCGAACGAGCGCAGTAATTTCGTAACAGCCTACCTGGGAAGTTCCGTTGGAGTTGCGCTCTTCTTCCCACTCTTCGGTTATATCATCTCCTGGACTTCGTGGGAGTATGTTTTCCACTTTTGTGGTATCTTCGGCACCGTCTGGTACGTCGCATGGCTCTACTTCGTGTATGACTCACCGGCAGATCATCCTCGAATTCATCCCAAAGAGCGTGAATACATTGAAAGCTCACTGGGAATTACCGAAAAGTCTAAAGAACAGGAACGCCAAGAACGAACGCCCTGGATGAAGATGATCCTCTCGAAAGCCATGTGGATGACGGTCATTGCTCAATGGGCTGGTATCTGGGGGTTATTTACCGTGATGACCCAGGCTCCAAGCTACTTCAACTACATCCATGGGTGGGATGTGAAAATGGTAATGTTTTGATTAAGTTACGCTTCTCAACGTTTCTATTAAACGTCGATTGTTTCAGACGGGGATCCTATCCGGCATTCCACATCTCTGCCGAATGATATTCGCGTACATCTTTTCCATGATCGGAGACTATCTCCTTCAGCGGAACCTCATGTCCCGAACAAATGTACGGAAAATGGGTGGAACGTTCTGTTGTATAGTGAATGGGTTCTTCGTACTAGCACTGGCCTACAGCGGTTGCAACTCGCTGTCTGCCATCTTATTCCTCACGCTTGCCACGATGGTACATGGATCCGTATCGACTGGACCGCTGGCCAACATAATCGATATGAGCCCCAAGTATGCCGGCATTCTGTTGGGAATCAGTGGAATGATAACAGTCGTTCCAGGATTCGTTTCACCGATCTTGGTTGGAATCCTCACCTTGGGAAATGTAGGTCAACGTCTGTAAAAAAAATCCTACCGTAGCATTAATCAAGAACTGCCTTATCCTCAGCAAACGGTCAAACAGTGGGAATATGTGTTCCTTATCAGCGCCTGGATGCTCATAGTAGGCGGAATTCTTTACATCCTCTTTGCGGATTCATCCTTGCAGCCGTGGAACTCCGCGGACCACCAAGGTGATGCAATCGATGGGCGGGAGCTGGTCAGCTTGAAGCTGGACGTGGAACAGGCTATACTCGCGAAGGAGAAGGAAGCCACCGAGGCAGGCCAGGAAGCGGTTACGGCGGAAGTGACTGACGATAGATACGGCGATGATGACTATCCCAATAGTACAGTATTAGCGCGATAAACTTGGTTGCATAAAGATGAGGTTGAATTTTAAGTGGACATTGTTGGTATGGCTTTGATCCGAAAATCGAAAGAAATGTTCGTGGGTAAAATTCCGTTATGAACATATTACGAGTTTTTTTTTTGAGTTGAACAATTTCCAAATTTTCCTGGGTATCGTTGTGCACACAAAAAATAGGGGAAATGGATGTAATGTCTGCCTAAAGTCCCCTAATTTGGGCCCATACAAAAATTCAGCAATCGACTAAATTTTCAACAGCGACCAAAAATATCCATTAGTACCGTCCCAATGACAATGGATAAATACGGTATTTTTAGCGATGGGCCCAATCTTAGATCCATAGGCCAACGTTATATCCATTTCCCTTATATAGTTAAATTAGAAATTGTTGACTCATTATTATTATTATTATTTGTTAACATCAACAGACTCAATGTAGCCCCAATTATGGATAACATAAAATTAAAAGTGAAGGTCATAAATTAAAAAAAAACAAAATTAAACACTGATACACATCATTCTCGGTTGACATAGCCAGAAAAAAAATTAAGAGAAACGTCTCCTTAGCATCTGCCGTGGCAGGTTCAAATCAAATATCGAAGAGACTCGATTCGCTGCAGCCCACCCATACTGCCGCTATTCGCATAACAGCAATCCACAAGCTTTCTCCGGAGAACATACGGTATTAGTAGCCGGTCGTTCCTAAAGATCAAACCGTCCTGGGTAGACAGTTCGTTGCGGCAATTGTAGTAAATCTTGACGTTATCTGGCACACGATCAACCGATCTAGGCCAACCCTGGTGAATGTACTTGACGATGATCTGCATTGAATGATCCTTTCCAGTTTCTTCCATTATCTCAGTGCCCAACAAACAATTTTAGCTGCAGCTCAGCTTGTACAGCCAAAAACTAGCTGCATAAGGCAAATTTTGGATGTATAAGCTAGTCTGCAGCTAAAATTGTTAGTTGGGTGAGCCTTGTGTCCGAAATGCTGAGAAAGTTACCGTGGAAGCACCATATTTGACGCGGGTCCAAACTTGACGCACTTTCCAATCAATTCGATCATAACTCCTGTTTTGGTTTGAATTGCACCGAAATTGTCCTTTGTTTACACTCATGCCACCCATTCATAACAAAAAACATACTTTGTTTATTGCTAATAAGAGCAATCAAAATCAAAACGAAAAAGCCATCTGTCAAATGCGTCATTTTTTTCTCATCGTAGCAACAACGCTAAGGAGCAAGTTTAATGTTTATTGTTAGTTTTCACGCAGAAAATCAGTTGTTGTGTAATAATACGTTACTAACTATTAAACTGTAAGTATTTTTAACGTTTAACAGCTGATTCAGCAATATATAGTATGTTTAGAGCACATTATTTAACGAAAATGTTTTGCGTCAATTTAGGCTCACAGTGGCCCTTATTATTTTCTATGTGAAACATGGAGCCCAAAACAAAGTACATGACCTACAGCAAGACTGCACTCGGTAAAGCCGTGGACATGGCACGAATTGGTACATCAGTTCGGAAATCTGCTGCCTCGTTTGGTATTCCGGAGGCCACCGTTCGTAGGAAGATGAATCTACAAACGCAGCGGTCACCGGGAAAACCTACCGTTTTGACCATGGAGGAGGAGAAATCAATTATCGATTGGATTTGTTTGGCGGCACAATCGGGCTTTCCGGTTGATGCACAACGTTTAAAGACATCAGTTGCGTACTTCCTTCGATTGTCCGGCAAACCTAATCGATTCACAGCAGGTATTCCCGGCCGTAAGTGGCTGAAGTTATTTCTCCGGCGCCATCCTGAAATCTCTCGCCGCATACCAAGTGCTCTCTCCAAGCAACGCACTGCAGTTACGGAAAACAAGATCAGGATCTGGTTCAACGAAGTAGGTTCTTTTATTACCAAACAAAAACTACAGCAGACTCTCGAGAAACCTGAGTGCGTGTTCAATATGGATGAATCAGCGGTTAGAATGGTTCCGACGAAAGAACAGGTCTTCGCAAAAACGGGTGAAAAATATGTGCATACGAAAAATGGAAACTCTGAAAAAGAAAGCTACACTGTCCTGTTTGCAGCCAACGCTGCCGGCACTCTGGCACCACCTTTGATTCTCTTCCCGTACAAACAACGGCTCCCGGCAGAAATCGCGCGAAGTGCACCCTCCGATTGGGCAGTTGGACGGAACCAATCAGGATGGATGACACAAGAAACATTCTTGGATTATTTGAGGAAGGTATTTGTTCCTTGGGTAACAAAGTCCGGAATACCACTGCCGATAATTATTTTTGTTGATGGACACACATCACATGTGTCGTACGAGACTCTACAATTTTGCCGTTCGAACCAGATCACCCTGATTTCCTTGTTCCCCAACGCAACTCATATACTCCAGCCATTGGACGTGTCCTTTTTTCGACCCTTGAAAGTCCAGTGGAACAAACGTTTAATTGAATATCGGACTTTTCACGCCGGGGAATCATTGCCGAAGCATGAAATCGCACCGCTATTGAAAAAAGCGGTTGATGACATGAAGAATCAGAAAACCGTAATAGCAAATGGTTTCCGTAAATGCGGAATCGTACCGTGGAATCCAAGTGCGGTTAACTACGGTATGCTTTTGCAAGGGCAAGATAAGTCGAACGGGGAAACCAATACGAGTACTGAATCGGATGGATAAGAACAGCGAAGACACCGAGGCGAAAATTAGCTTAAAATGTCTTGAATCTAGACTCACGGTTGGGCAGCTGAAAATGTTTGAGAAACATGAATCTGATGTGATGTGGCCGGATCCAATAGGTGACACCAACCTGTTCTACATTTGGAAGGGAATTAAAAAAGAGGTAGTCCAGGCTCCGAATCCCCCCGTAGCGGTCGTAGATGGATTTTGTGGATACGATATTGATGATATTGAGGGTGAGTATACTGAAGCGCATTGGAAGAAAATCAAATTATAAAATTTACTTTGAATCAATTCACAGAAAAACGGAACCAAACCAGGCTGGCGTGGGATACATATGAAAATTTACTGAACCAAACTGTTTTAACAACGCCTAAAGATGGAAGCTCAGCGAAAGTACATCCGGAAACACTTCCGGCAGAACGTCCAGAAGAGCCTGTAAACGTTGAAATCCTGAAAGAGCAACCGGAAAAGCAAGTCAGTGCAACAGTGCGCGGCACATCTCGCTCAATCTTGACAGAGCGAAAGAAAAACTTATTCAATGATGCATTTACGTTGCCTAAGGCTACGCCCAAGATGCCGAAAGCTTCACGTAGACGAGCTAATCCTCCTGCTGTCGCTACAAGCGACGAGTATAGAGCGTGGTTTGAAAGGATGGAAGCAGACAAACAGAAGGAAGAACAAATTCGAGCGGAGAAAAAGGCAGCCAGAGAAGATTCTATGCGTCAAGTTAGGAACCCAAAGTACCAAACAGAAATTTATTATAACATCAAGAAATTAACAGATATTTACGTTTTATTTATTTTTCCTACATTCTGTATTTACTGAACTATTACTGTGTAAAATATTGATTGAATTGGTAAGACTCTCATTTTTTAGAACATGTTTGAATTTGAAATTGTCTTAACTGCGTCAAGTATGGTGCTTCCACGGTACTAAGTTTCACCTCTGATATTTCATCAAACACGCTGAATATATTAAGTTTTTTAATTTTTTCCACAGCATTTTCGTTTACCAATGGAGATCGAGACAAAGCATCTGCCACAACGTTTTCCTTACCCGTAACAAACTCGATTGTCAAGTTGTAACGTTGAAGATTCAACAACATATGTTGAAGACGTCGTGGCGTTGATGAGAGTGATTTTTTGAATATACTGATTAACGGTTTGTGGTCCGTTTTCACTGTAACCTTCGGATTAACAACAACCAACTGATCGAAGCGAACACAAGCAAACACAATAGCGAGTAGCTCCTTCTCAATTTGAGCGTAGTTCTTCTCAGTGCTCGTCAACGTTCGTGACGCATATCCAATCACTCCGTTGTGCTGGAAAACTGCAACACCCAAACCATAGCAACTAGCATCGCACTCTATCACTAACGGTTGGGTCATAGAGGTAACTCTAAGACCACTGGGTCCCGAAGAAAATCATTATTATTTTTGGCTCACTCAGTACCAGAACAACGGTCCCAAGCAGTCCCAAGCTATTTCACTCACCCCTGCATGTTCTGCATGAATCCACACACCCCTGATGTTATCTGTCAAACTTTCATAGCGAATCAAAACAAACATAGTGTAGTAATAGAATTTCAACTAGAATAGGGTACGTTAATCGTTTGCTTGGGACCAATAGGCTACTAAAGTGGTGAGCCAATTTAAAATCGTTAGTTTCGTATTGATTGTTGGTTGGGTCACGTCATAGTACTTCAGCGTCTTGATGTACGATACCAAGGATTTCACTACTTTAAACTCATTTTCTTCGGTTGCTGTCCACTGCCACATAGCAGACTCGGAGATTAGTTTGCGCAGATTCGTCAGGTTAACACTGAGGTTCGGAATGTAACGGCTCAGGTAGTTGACCATCGCAACAAAACGATGAACCTCCTTTCTGTTGCATGGCGTCGCAAAGTTCTTGATAGACGATATCTTCGCATCATCGGGTCGCAAACCGTGATCTGTCAGCATATGAGCATAAAATTTTACGGAAGTTTGACAGAGGTTCATCTTTGATCGATTCAACTTTACGTTGTTTTCTTGTAGACGAATAACGAGCTGTTGCAAGCATTTGTTGTGATTGATTGGCGCTTCTTCCATTGTATCACCTACACCGTAGATGAGCAAATCGTCAGCTAAGCATTCAACGCCTTTTAGTTCCTGAATGACTTCCTGCAGCTTAAGTTGAAAAATCTCTGGAGCTGGAGAAATTCCAAACGGCAGACGAGTCCATCGGTACCTACCGAATGGTGTCCAGAAAGTAGTCATCTTGCTGCTGGGTTTGTCCAGAACGACGTGCCAAAAACCCTTTTTGGTATCTACCGTGGAAAACACCTTAGCTTTTTCTTATTCTGGAA